CACCCCAAGGGTTTCAAGGTTCAGGGGTTTTGGGGGAAATTGTTGTGGGTTTAGTAGGTGGGAGATGACATCTAATTAATTATCTTCATTTTTGTAATGATGAGGGAGGCTGCACCTTCATCCTTTTCAGCTGTTTCCAAAGCACTGGCCCTTCTCCACACCCTGGGGTGAGGCTGCTGAACACGCCTTCTCAGGGCATTCCCACATTTGTGGTCTGGGTCTGGGTTCTATGCCCAGCCAGGAAGCTCCTCTCCCAGGTGCTAGGGGCTCAGGTCCTGGCCTGTGGGGCCCCCTCCTCTCCCCAGATCTGCTCCAGAGGTCAGAGCATGCTGACCGCAGTAAGAGCTTGGCAGATTTGCTCCCCATGACCACACAGGTGCCAGGGACAGGGGTGCAGTGGGTTCTGCCTGCAGCCAGGCCAGGCCTTGGCTAGTGCAGGATGACGGAGCTTTGATAAAAGAATGACTCCTGGATTGGGCTGGGTTCTGGTGGGTCCGGCATCAGGACTGTGAACCTACTTGTCCTCCTGAACAGCCAGGTCAACAAGGAACAGAGATGCAGGGTCCCAGAGGGGCAGGGCTGGAGCAGAGCTCACCCCAGGCCTGGTGTTTTTAAATCTCACTTTTTCTTGGCAGTTACATGTTGTTCCGATGGTACCTGATGCAGAAGCCCAGCGTCTCAAACACAGGACAGAGCTATTCAGGGTGAAGCTGGGACGAGGCCTGGACTCCCCACCCCCTATACACACCCCAGGGACACCCCCCCACCACCACCAAGGACTCCGAGAGGCACAGCTTGACAAGCACTGAGGACTCCATCACCTCTTTTCATAGCGGGAAAACTGAGATTTTGTCTAAGGTCACCCAGAAAATTAAGAGCAGAATGCTGGGCAGGTGGGCTGAGACTTAGGGTCTGTCCTCAAGGACCTGTCTCTTGTTGCTGCCCACCCCAGGTACCAAGGCCTAGGAGGGTCAAGATCAATGTCTGGGTCTAAACTGAGCTTTTCGGAGACGTCTGCTGGGCACCCAGGAGGACGCTGGCCCTTGCTCCAGACAGAAGTTTCTTCCCCAAGGAAGGAAGGGGAGGTCCACACCCTGGACGGGAGGCCCTGCCTCCACCCTGCCGAGCCCCCACCCCGCCTCCACAGAGTCTCGTCACTCCCCTTGGAGGGTCATCCCAAGGTTCTCAGACTGATTCTACCATGAAGCCCCTTCTTCCTGGGAAATACTCCGGGCATCCCGCAGGATCCCAGAGGTAGGTCACAGCAGGGGGCCAATTGTGGAGGGTCTGTGGGTGGTGGGGAGCCCAAGGACTGGGTTTGGAGGTCAGGGCTCCCTGCTCAGCTTGGCTACTAACCAGAAGGGGGACCCTAGCCATTCCCCTGGGAGGATATTGCTCAGTCCCCTCAGTGAATTCAAACCCAGTGCCCCACCCCCTGGGGTAACTAGCGAGGAGACAGACCATGGGGAGTTCTTCCTTGTCTCCTCAGAGGATCAAGACCACTGAGGAGCCGGGGATGGATTTCCTCACACATCCATTTTACAGATGGGAAATCTGAGGACCACTGAGGGGAATGGCCACATGGGGATGAGGGTAACGTGGGTACATCCCCTCCACCACAGGCCTCGCCCGGTCGGTCCTGAGCTACTGGACAAGGACACGTGCGTGACCTGCTGATCCCGGCAGCTGCTCCCAAATGAGCCGGGACACATGCCTGTGACCCACATTCCTCATCTGACCCTCAGTGCTGTGTCCCAACCCTCCAGATCCATGCCAGGCACGTAGTAGGCTCCTAAGTGTTTACTGAATGAATAGATGAATGAATCAGTGTAAGGTGCTGTTATTTTACAGATGAGAAACCCAGGACATAAAGAAGTCTTGGGTTCATTCATTTGTTCATGCATTCAGCATGTGCCAGTGTGCAGGCACCTGGAAAACTGTGGTGAACCCCAGACACCATTCCTGCTCTGGGAGCTCACAGCTGACCAGGTAGGGCAGCATCTCTTACAGCCAGTAAGTGGGAGTGCAGCCTCCGTGGTCCTCCTTCTCCTCAAAAGATGTTTAAGTAATATTTAATAAAAATTCATAAAAGTTTACATATATATATATATATAGAGAGAGAGGGGACTGTAAGCTGGCACATATTTCTCCCGCCGCTCCCTCTGCTCCTGTGCTGTGGTTGGTTTTGTTCTCTCGGATTCTCCTGCTGGTTCCCATGAATACTTGAGGCCCCTGCCTAAGTTTCCAGTTCAGTCCACCTACGCTTTCCAATTAGAAAGATGTCCAGATGCACAGCCCGCTTTCTCCCAGCCGCCTTTCCCTCCCAGTTTTTGGATGTTATGTTTTTAAGTCCTGGAGGTCCCTTTGGTCTTCCTTCACCTTTTCACCGCTCCTCCAGGGCCAGCCCTGAGGCTGTACTTAGGCCAAATTTGTCCTCTCCTGGGGCTGGGGAGAGGGGGGAGACAGAGAATGCTGGCTGGGCCAAGACAGGGCTGTAGCCAGTCAGCAGAGTCCTGGGTCTGCCCCGTATTGCTCACTTCTTTATCACCGGGGAGGCAGCAGTGTCTAGAAGATACACCAGGGAACTTTGCAAACTTAAACTGAGTAAGGAAAACAAACTAGTCAGTCCCAGATCAGGCCCCAGGTAACCAGTGTTTGCAGCTAAAACCCGAAGCATGACCTTTCAGCCGGCACTCACCAGCTCCTGGGCCTGCGCCAGGCACCCGCAGACTCCGGTGAAACAGGCCCTGCCTCACAGGAACTTGTGGTCCTCGAGCAAAACCCCAACAACACAGGCAACGACACCCCCGGAGCACCTGGGAGGCCGTGCCCAGGCACCAGGCAGATCTGAGTTTGCAACTTCAAGCTGCATCATTGCGACCCTGAGTGAACCCATGACCTCTCTGAGCCTCCGTTGTTGTTTTGTCTTCCGTGCTCTTTCTCTGTATCTGGTCCAGTCATGGTAGTTGTCGTGGTGTGTCCATCCGTTCCCCCCCACCACTTCCCCTGCCCTCTCTTGTTACAACTTCCTTATTTACCATTAGAGCTCTTCCTTTTGGTCCCTCTGTATGCCCTCCCTCACCGGGCCTAAGCAGATGCCTAGGCCTCCGAGGCCCTCCACCTCCTGTGCTTGGCCTACCCTTGGTGAAATGTAAGAGGGTCCCTCTGGGGCTCCCGGAGTCCCTGGGGTGAACAAGGGTCAATGCCACGGGGGAGGAAACTATGGCCAACCTCATTTTACAGGGGAAGAAACAGAGGCTGCCGGAGATTTCAGAAGCCACTTGTGCCAGGCTCAGAGGCCCTGAGCAAAGGATGAATGATCCTAACACGGAAAGAAAGTGCAATGTCCAGCTGGTCTTTCCTTCCTGTGATTGCTTCCATGCCCTTCTAAAAACATTAGTTTTTCCCCAAAATCGTTTTTCTGATTTCTCAGGCCCGCACCCCCGCCCTGAGTTCCCGGACTCGGGCTTCCGGCCCCCGAACTGGGCCCCCTGCGTCCGAGGTCGTCGCCCAGATGGCGAGTGGTGGTGGACAGAACCAAGGAGACTCCCCGCGCTCTGGGACCCCGGGGACAGAGGCTGTGGCGAGGGGCTGGGGGGGGGCACGGGTGTCCGAGCTGGCGAGTAGGAAGAGCTGCGGCCGTGGGCGGGGCGAGCGGGCGGGTGGGAGGGGCTGCGGTCGTGGGCGGGGCGAGCGGGCGGGTGGGAGGGGCTGCGGTCGTGGGCGGGGCGAGCGGGCGGGTGGGAGGGGCTGCGGTCGTGGGCGGGGCGAGCGGGCGGATAAGAGGGGCGGCGGCCGTGGGCGGGGCGCGCTGCTCCATTTCCTTTTCGCGGGCCCGTTTGACCCTCCCCCAGCCGGGAGACTGTGTGCTCGGCTTCGCGAGCTGCCGGAGGCCACCGCGTAACCCAGGGCGGAGGGGGAGCGCCCAGACCCCGGAGCCGGCACTGGCGGGCGGACGTCCAGGTGCGCGTCTCTGCCCGAGGCTCGTGGGTGCAGACCCCGGCCTCGGGCTGACGGGGCTCGGGCCTGGTTCTGCGTTGGCGGAGCGGCCCAGGTGGCCTGGGCCCCGCGGGAGGCAGGGTCTAGCGGAGCCGGCGGTCGTGACGGGGGCTTGGCAGGACCCCGTGGCCCGAGTGGGGAAACTGAGGCCCGCAGAGGGAGGGAGAGGGAGCGGGCTTGCCGGAGGCCACCGGGTGAGCAGGGGCCAAAGCCCCAAATCCCTGGCCCTGGGATCTTTCTCTGACGTCGGGCTGACCCCCGCAGGACTGCCAGGGGTCCCGCGAACACTGTGACCCTGACCTGGCCCAGCGCTTTACAGCCCTTCCCGCACATCATCCTCAGGGGCGGTGCGTATTGTGCCCCCGACCCAAGCCCCCTTAGCCGAGGGGGACGCTGAATCTGTGGTGGAGGGGGGGAGGAGAGTGACTTGCCCAAGGTTACCGAGACAATGAGAGCTGAAGCGTCTTCCCACGGGCCCCCAGAGGAATGCACTGCTGCCACCCCTCCCCCCAGGGGAATCACGGCCGCCCTTCTCTGCGCAGCCCCCGCCCAGGGTGGGTGGGTCTCTGCTGGGACCACATCAAGCAGGCTCTAGGCTTGATTTTTGGTGTCCTCGCTGTTGACCCTGGGAATCCTTTTCCAAGCCCCACCTTCGTGCTGCTGCTGCCCCAGTCCCTATATGCGGGCCTCCCTCTGCTCAGTGCCCAGAGAGGTGGTTGGGAGGGAGATCTGAGGGCCAAGGCTGGAGGCCAGTCGGCCGGGCCCGAGTGCCTCTCCCAAGGCACAGCTGCAGGCTTCCGCTGGGTACTGAGCCACTGTCCCCGGGTCCACCTCCCAGAGCTGGGCTTGGGGTCCAGCAGGAGGAGGAGACATCAGGGATCCACATTCCCCTGGTGGGGCCACCCAGGGGAGGGCAGGGCAGCAAGGATGGGGCCACTGTGCCCTGGATAAGGAGAATTCCTTTGCAGGTGTTCCCCAGCCGGAGACAACAGGCTCAGAGCCCTGAGAGAGGAGGGCTGATTCGCCAAGACACGCCCAGTCTCAGCGGGTGTCCAGCCTCAGGTGCTGCACCCAGCGATGCGCTGCCACAGACTGGCCGTGGGTCTGGGGTTCTGCCTGCTGGTGGGCACTGCCCTCTGCGCTCTGTGGTGAGCATGCCCCATGGGGCCCTCCCTCCTCACCCCAGACTCCTCCCTCTCTCAGCATCTCAACCCCCAAACCTGGTCCCACCCACCTCTCCTGGCACACCTGTCCCCCAGCCCCACCTCAGTAGACCGAACTTGTTTTGGCTTCGGAATTTTGCCTTGTACTGGCCTCTGCACTTGCTCTTTCCTCTGCCTCAGCCATTTTTCTAGCTGTGTTGGTGAGGAACTCCTGTTCGTGCTCCAGAATTCACCCTGTGTGTTCCTTCTGCGAAGCCCCCGGGGCTGCCCCTCCCTGTCACCTGCTTGTGTGCAGGGCCTGGGTCAAGAACATTCCTGCCCCAGGAGGGAATGGCTGCGTGCCCGAAGGCCAGGAGGCTTTGTCCTGCAAGGAATGATGGGGGGCCCCCTGCTGCACTGTTGGGGGCCTTCACTCCCACTCATGTGCAGCATGTGGGTTTTCATCCTCTGGGCAGAGTCGAATCAACAGGTGTTTTTCCTTCCCAGGGTGTATGTCGAGAACTGGCTGCCGGTCTCCTACATCCCCTATTATCTCCCCTGCCCAGAGATCTTGTAAGTAAGGGGCTGGGAGAATTGGGGGCTCTGTGGGCTGCCCGGACTGGGGGAGATGGGCGGTTTTTAATGTCACTTCAGGTTCTTAGGTCCTAAGCTCGTGATTCTGATCAGTGTGATAAGTGTTTGGGTAATTTATGGGCTGTCACAAATGTGGAGTAAATTTCCCACCTCAGTCCTTGGTGTCCTTGCAGTGCCTTCCTCTGCAGTCTGACCTTAAGCGTGTTGCATAGCTCCGAGCCTCACTTGCTGCATCTGTAAAATGGGATGGTAGAGGTGCCCTCCCCGGACCACCTGGAGCATGGAGTGTAACACCTGGGGTAACACCTGGCCCATAGGAGGTGCTCAGTAACAGTGTTTTTAGGACTTGACCTTTCTGCTCAATTTTGTGTTCTGTGTGGATTCAAAGAACAAATGAACATGCGACTAGTCTTCCCCACATAACAAATCTGACTTTTTGATGGTTAGGAGTGAAAAAATGGGTTGGGACAGTCTCGAGGGGGCAACTGGCCCCATGGTCTTTTGTTTTTCATAATAGCTAAAGGCAAGTTTCCCAGCCCTGGGGGTCTAGTTGTTAAGATTTGGCGCTCTTGGGCCGGCCCCGTGACTTAGCGGTTAAGTGTGCGCGCTCCGCTGCTGGCGGCCCAGGTTTGGATCCCGGGCGCGCACCGACGCACCGCTTCTCCGGCCATGCTGAGGCCGCGTCCCACATACAGCAACTAGAAGGATGTGCAGCTATGACATACAACTATCTACTGGGGCTTTGAGGGAATAAATAAATTAATTAATTAAATTAAAAAATGATTTGGCGCTCTTACCGCATGGCCCAGGTTCGTTTGCCAGCCAGGGAGCCACACCACCCATCTGTTGCTTGTCATACTGTGGTGGCTGCGTGTTGCTGTGATGCTGAAAGCTATGCCACCAGTACTTCAAATACCAGCAGGGTCACCCATGGTGGACAGGTTTCAGCAGAGCTTCCAGAATAAGACAGACTAGGAAGAAGGACCTGGCCCCCCACTTCTGAAAAAATTGGCCACGCAAACCCTGTGAAGAGCAGCAGAGCATTGTCTGATACAGCACCAGAAGGTGAGAGGATAGCACAAAAAGACCAGGCAGTGTTCTGCTCTGCTGTCCACAGGGACCTAGGAGTTGGAATCGACTTGACGGCCCTAACAACAGAAAGTTTAAAATCTGGATCATAGACTGCTAATTAATGAGGCGTGTTTTATTATTATAAACACAGAATATAGGAAATTAGGAAGCTGTAAAACAAAAGACAAAATAAAAAAACCCTCTTGGGTCCCACTGGTCTGAGTTATACCCCGATTCCCGAGTTCGTTGTCAGCTGGTTGGTGGCTGCATTTTCTAATTGAACAGACTGTGCACTTACTTGGTTCTAAAAGCAGAAAGGCTGCTTGCTATTGGAAATAGCTGTGATCATGTTTTTGCGATTTGTATCCTGTTTTCCCAGAATTGGCTTCAGTGTGTTCACACTCTTGGTGGTCACCATTATTTTACCCCACTCAGGGGTTGGGTCATAATTCTTGAACCCCTCCCCTTTCCCACCAAGAACGGTGGAGCATTTAGATTGTTTCCAATTTCTCAGTGTTGGAAATTAGTTTGTAATGAGCAGCTTTGGATATAAAGCTTTTTCCATCTTAAAGATCCTTTCTTTTGAATGTTCCCTTCCTGGACCAGAGGATATGGATAGGTTCTTCATCCATCTCATCAGCTTGCTGTCCAGAGGGACCGTGGCGCATCGCACACTCACATCCACACACTCACCCCTCCCGCCCCGGCAGCTGCATCACACCTGGGCCAGCGCTGGAAGGACTGGGTCTTATGAGAAACAAGAACCACACCACCTTGCTGATTCCCGGGGTGGGAGATGCTGTCTCCTTGGTTTAAATTTAATTTCTTTGATTGCTACCGAGGCCTTCACTTCCCCCACGCCTTCCCCTCAATTGAATTTCCTCTTCCGTGACGCGCCTGCTCCGCCACCGTCTCTCTTTGGCCTCTTTGCATTTCTCAGTCATCACCTTTGACCGAGCATATTTGCTACATTTTTTTTTTTTCTTTCCAGTTTGTCTATCTTGGTTCTACTGAGTTATTTTTTTAATAGATTGAAATTGGAGGTTTTTGTTTGTTTTCAGTGGTCACAACTTCCCCTCTTTTCATTTGGATTTCTCCTTTACTTTGTTTTATCATCTTCAGAACTTTGGAAATGTGCAGTTCCTTTTTCTGGCTATTGCTCACCTGGGGTTCAGGATTCTTATGTCTAAGTCTTTGATGTAGCTGGAGCTTGTCTGGGCTTGTAGGGAGAGGGGAGGGGCCAATTGCCAGGGAAGTGTGGACCCCTGGGCTCGCTGGTGCCAGCGTCCTGGGGCCCTTTCTCCTTCACTTCTGACCTCCTTCTCAGAGTCCCATCACTTTCTGAACAGGGACCTGCAATGTGCTTGTTCATGTGAAACTAGGGCAGAAGGCCAATTTGATGGATTAACTTTAAAAAGTTGTTAATTCAAGAGTATAGACTAATCACAGAAGGACAAATACTATAGGTTCCTCTTATATGAGGTCTCTAGAATAGCCAAATTGGTACGGGCAGAAGTAGAATAATGGTTACCAGGTGCTGGGGGAGGGGGAATGGGGAGTGAGTACCTTCAGTTTGGGAAGATGAAAAGTCCTGGAGATGGATGGTGGTGATGATTGCACAACAATGTGAATGTACTTAATGCTGTACATTTAAAAATGGTTAAAATGGTAAATCTTTGTTAGGTATATTTTACCACCAAAAAAAAAAAAGGCATAGACTAAAAAAGGTAGGAAAACCTCAAGGAGGTTGAAGCCGTCCCATAGTATACGACATATTGAAAGTTCCCGGTGAATGGCAGGCACCGGGTCCTCTGGTGGCCTGAGCCTCACAGAGCCGACCTCGGCCTCTTCTGGAGCTGGCTCGGACCCTGCTCCCTGGGGGCCTGGGGCTGGCCTTTCCCTTCTCCTTTTTTTTTTTTTTTTTTTGTGAAGAAGATCAGCCCTGAGTTAACATCCGATGCCAATCCTCCTCTTTTTTTGCTGAGGAAGACTGGCCCTAGGCTAACATCTGTGCCCATCTTCCTCCACTTTATATGGGACGCCGCCACAGCATGGCCTGACAAGCGGTGCATCGCTGCACGCCCAGGATCCGAACAGCAGGGCACAGGCCGCCAGCAGCAGAGCATGTGCACTTAACCGCTACACCATGGGGCCGGCCCCAGGACTTTCCCTTCTCTAGGCCTCATTTCCACCCCCTGGGGAACAACTCTAAGCAGAAGGTTTTATTGTCCCCATTTTAAGGGTGAGGGAACTAATGCCTCAAGGAGTCAAATATCTGACCTCAGGTCTCTCTGCCAGTTAGATGGTGACAGAGCCAGAGGCCCTGTGAAACCTGCAACCTCCTTCCTCAGGGCCCCACTTCTTCCTTCTCCACCCGGAGTGACCTTGGTTGAAGGTAGTGAAGGCTGACCACACAGGCTGCCTGCCAAGAAGGGGCCAGGATGCCTGGTCTTACTCAGCATTTGCTCCGTGCTGGGCATGGGCCGAGAACCACTGACTCACGTACCTTGTTAATTCTCTAAAGGTTAAGGGTCATTACCCATTTTACAGATGAGAAAAAATGGATGTATCAGCCAGGGTCCCACTAAAGAATAAGAACCAGTAGGGGGGAGGGAAGGAGGAAGGGAGAGAGAGAGATTGCAGGGAATCAGCTTACGAGATTCTGGGGGTGGCTGGGCCAGTCTGAAATCCGTGGGGCAGGCTGTCGGGAGACGCAGGCTGGAACTCCTGGGCTGGAACTGATGCTGCAGTCTGCCCACCAGAGGGATCTCTTCTTCTTCGGGGATACCTCAGTTCTGGTTGTAAGGCCTTTCATCTGACTGCAGTCGTCCCACCTAGAGTAGCCTGGATAATCTTCACATAAAGTTAGCTAGTCTGGATGCTAATCACGTCTACAAGATACCTTCACAGCAGTGCCTTGAGTGGTGTTTGAATCCTGGGCGCTACACCAGCCATCACCGTGGGCTCGGGTTAAGTAACTCGCCCACGGTCCCCAGGCTAGAAGGCGGCAGAACTGGGCTCACCGGGCCTGGGCAGCTTCTCAAACCTTCCACCCAATGCCGGGCTCCTACGACATGGTTGAAAAAGCCTCAGCTTTGGAGACAAACAGCATGGCGTTGGAATCACCGCCCTGCTGCTCGGTGCCCCTGGACAGACCGCTTCTGTAGGAGCCCCGCCACTGCAGAGTGGGCAGAGCAGTGGGGAAGGTTCCAGGGAGTCTGCATGGAACCTGGGGGAGTGCCTGCTCCGTGGGGGTGTTTTGTTAGTCTCAGCTTCCTCCTTCAAGTGCTGAGTGTCTCTGCTCCCCGCCCCAGCACTAACGGCTCCTTCTCGCCTCCACCACCAGCAACATGAAGCTGCAGTACAAGGGGGAGAAGCCGTTCCAGCCCGTGGCACAGTAAGCAGACTGTCATTTCCCCTTTGTGGCCCTGGGGGGTGGGGGCTGCCACCCCTCACCACTGGCCCTTCTTGGTTGCAGGTCACAGTACCCTCAGCCCAAGCTGCTGGAGCAGAGGTAGGCGTCGGTCAGGGCCTGGGTGCAGAATGGAGAGACCTGGGGTGGTAGGTGGCGGGGACAGAGCTGTGATTTATTAATTGGGGTGGTGGAGGTGTCAGGTGGCCTTGGGGTCCAGGTAGGTCTGGGATGGTAGAAAGACAGACTGGGAGTCAGGGACCTGGCCTCCAGTCCAGATCTGTCACTAGCTGTGTGACCTTGGGCAGGTTACCCAACTACTCTGAGCTTTTTCTGTACAGATGGATAATAATAGTACCCACCTCATAGGAGGTGGAGGACCAGGTGAGATGGTGTTTGTGAAATGCACAGCATTGCACCTCCTGTGTAGTAGGTGCTCAGTCCAGTGTAATGACAACACTGGTAGCCCCATTCATTAGACACTTAGCAGGCACCTGAACTGCCGGCATCCTCTAGACGCTTGATGTGCACTGACTCCTGGTCCTCCCAGCGTGGTCGGGCACTGTTAATATCTCCACTTTTCACATGAGGATACTGAGGCCCCGAGACTAGGACGAAGCTGCCCAGGGTCACACAGCGTGAGAGGCAGGGCCAGGATGAGACCAAGGCTTTCACAAGGGGAGGGTCCCAGCCCGCATGGCCTCCCCTGCTGCCAGGCGCACAGAGCTGCTGACGCTGACGCCCTGGCTGGCGCCCATCGTCTCCGAGGGAACCTTCAACCCAGAGCTTCTGCGGCACATCTACCAGCCCCTGAACCTGACCATCGGGCTCACAGCGTTCGCCGTGGGGAAGTGAGTCGTGGCTGGTGGGGCAGGGGGGGTTCTCTCTGAGCCACAGGAACTTACGGTCTGGGGAGAGACAGGACCCTGCCTGGGAATGAGGGAGGCCCTGAACAGGGTGCTGTGTGGGTGGGGAGGTAGAGAGTAGAGTGCGATGGTGGGAGGGGTTTCCTGGAGGAAGGGGGTCTGGCCCTGGCATGGAAGGGGAGGGGAGGCAGCCCAGGTGAGGGGAGAGCAGGAGCCTTTGTCAGGAGGCCCCTTTGCCTCTCACCCCTCTCTGCTCCCCCTGAACAGTCCAGGCGGGTATGAAGGGATGGAACCCCAGACCACCTCACATAAATGGGGGTCCATGGTCAGGACACCAGCAGGTCAAGAAACCCAGGCAGAGGTGGCCCTAACCCTCGGTACCCTCTCTCCTCCCCCCGCTCTGTCTGCCCACTCCCTGGACCGCCCCGTTTTACTCTACCCTCCTGTAGCCCACCCGGCCTTTGCTTTAGGAGCCACCACCTGGCAGCTTCCCTCTGGGTCCCTTCACGGGACTCCTGAGAGGGACCATGATGGGGCCCCAGGCGTAAAGTGCTAGCCAGATGATGGATGGCCCACTTGGGGCCAGATGACCCCCTGGTCCAATCAGCTGTGGCGTGGAGGGTAGGGCACATAGTCTCCTCCCACCCTGTGCCCCTAGCACCCACACAGCCCACCTTCCTTTGATGGAGCCGCTTAGCTGCTTCTTGGTTCCTTTTCTCTCTCTGAGCCTCAGTGTCTCTGCCTATAAAATGGGGATTACAGTAATGCCTTCCAGCAAGCTTATGAGGCTAAAGGAGATGAGAATCCCTTAGAACACTGCCTGGCACTCAGAAAGTTCTCAATAAAAGTTAGCTTGGTTTGTGAATGTAAGAAGCATTGTTAAGTATCATTCTTACGACGGTCTTAAGAGGTTTGTACTTTGATTGTGGGGATTTGAGACGAGGACCCTGAGGTCAGACCTAAGTGACTGCTGGAGGTGAGGAGCTGAGAGGGGGACCCCAGCCTGGCCCACCCCAGGCCCTGTGCCCCACATGGTGCCAGCACGTGGTGGGGACGCAGGCGGTGGCCCTGCTGGGGCTGTGGTGGATGTCGGGGTTATTGCTGCCAGGTACACCCGCTTTGTCAAGCACTTCCTGGAGTCGGCTGAGCGGTTCTTCATGCATGGTTACCGGGTATGCTATTACGTCTTCACCGACGATCCCACAGCCATTCCCCGGGTCCCGCTGGCCCCCGGCCGCCTCCTCAGCATCATCCCCATCCAGAGGCACTCCCGCTGGGAGGAGATCTCCACGCGCCGGATGGAGACCATCAGCCAGCACATTGCCGAGAGGGCGCACCGGGAAGTGGACTACCTCTTCTGCGTCAATGTGGACATGGTGTTCCGGAACCCGTGGGGCCCTGAGACCTTGGGAGACCTGGTGGCTGCCATTCACCCACGCTACTATGCTGTCCCCCGCCAGCAGTTCCCCTACGAGCGCAGGCATGTTTCCACCGCCTTCGTGGCAGACGGTGAGGGGGACTTCTATTATGGTGGGGCAGTCTTTGGGGGGCGGGTGGCCAGGGTGTATGAGTTTACCAGGGGCTGCCACATGGCCATCCTGGCAGACAAGGCCAACGGCATCATGGCAGCCTGGCAGGAGGAGAGCCACCTGAACCGCCGCTTCATCTCGCACAAGCCCTCTAAAGTGCTGTCCCCAGAGTACCTCTGGGACGACAGGAAGCCCCAGCCAGCCATCCTGAAGCTGATCCGCTTTTCTACTTTGGACAAAGACACCAACCGGCTGAAGAGGTGACATCAGAGCCAGGGCTGCCATGGATGGGGCCAGCTCTGCACCCAGCTCGCCCCAGAGGAGCACCCAGCTCGCCCTGGAGGAGCACCCAGCTCACCCCAGTGGAGCCACCTTGCACCTGTGCCTGACTTCTCAAGCCTTAGCTGAGACCAGCCCTGTCCTGCCTACCTCGCAGTCTGCCAGGAGAATCCACCCAGAAAAAAGATGTGGAAAGGCCATTGTAAACTGTAAAGGGCTGTGCCCACAGGAGAACAGAGGTCACACAGCAGTGTGGCCCAAGAAGGGTAGGACAGGAGGGGAGACTGGAGGTTGAAGATGGCAGGCTTTCCCCAGCAGATGTGCCTTCGGGGCAGGCCCTGGAGTCAGCCCTACTCAGTGCCTGAAAGTCCACCTCTGCCCCTTTTGTCACCTCTTGTCCTTAAACTTGCACTTCTGACATCTAGGTATGAAAGGCATCCCGGCCCCCTTTTCCCCGGCTGTGGGGCTCCCGGGTGCTGTGACGTCCCCCAGCCACATGGAGCCAATGCCTCACTCAGGACCCTGGAGCGAGCCTTTGAAATGGACCCGCTCTAGGCTCTCTCTGGTTTCAAGTCCAGCCTGCACCCCACAGAGGACCACGCTCCCGGGCACTAGCCGCCTCCTTTGTCAGAGGGTTGGGGCGGTTTCCAATAAAGGTGGCACGTGCTAGGCCCTAGCCAGGGTTTTCTCCCTGCATCTCCCAGTGTCTGTGCTGCCAGCCATTGGGGAGACAGGCAGCTTGGATTTCAAATACAGTCAACTCATGGAGGGGCGGTAGGACACAGAGGGGACAACTTTCCAGAAAACCTGGGCTAAAGCTGGCTGCTGTGACAGACAGGATTTCATTCCACTTCTGGAGACTGGGTGCCGTGGAAGCGGGCTGTTGGACGTGCCGTGCGCCCAGCTGAGTCCCGGGGAGCAGAGCCCATCAGCCGGATACCCTGTGGGCTCTGAGTCCCTGAGCGCCTAACAGATGTCTGCCGGCCCTCCTGTGTCCAGGGTCAGCCTCAGCCTTGTGAAGACACTGGCGGGCATGGTGCAGGCCCAGGATTAGAGGACCACGAGGGCAGCCTCACCAGCATGGCCCCGGAGGCACTTCAGAGCCCCACGGTGGTTCTGCCTGCCTGGGGTGGGGGATGGGTTCAGGGCTTGGTGGCCTGGTGTCCACTCCCCTGGGGGGCGGCAGCATCTTTGCCACGGAAGTGGGAGGTGGAGAACAGGGAGAGGTGTACTCTGGCTATATCAGGAGGGGCACCTGGCCACCCCTAGCAAAGCTAGGGGCCAGCCCTGAGGCCACTCTTCCTGCAACCTGTGGTTTGGCCTGCGGGAGCAGGCACAGATCACGAGAATGTGGGCAGACAGTCACCAGTGTGAGGAGACAGCCTGGGCTGGAGAGGACAAGTCAGGGAGAGGCCCTGGGGTGCTTCCCGGACTGAGGGGCAAGGGTGGACCCATGGCCCCATGTCCCCAGCACCTTACCAGGGCAGGGAGGGGTCTGTGAGACAGGGCTGTGTTGAAGGAGCAGGCCCTGCCTTCAAGGAGCTTCCAGGTTGGAGCAGGGCGAGGCTTGATGCGGAGACCGGGGAAGGCCTCGGGAGGAGGTGGCCCCAAGGCCTGGGCACCATCAGTCTTGTAGGAAAGAAGGGAGCCCCCACCTCACTCCCAGCCCAGTTCTGGGCCCACCCTCTCCTTGACCCAACTGATGAGCCTTCCCAAGTGTGCCCCGACCTGGGGAATATGGCTGACCCTGGTCCCCATCCCAGGGCGTGGCCCTCAGACACGAGGTGGGAGTGCCCAGAGACAGCCCCGGCCGCCCTCAGCCCAGTCTGATGGGCTCAGATCTGAGCTCTGCGCACCAGTCTTGCCGCGGCAGATCAGTGTAGGGGCTCTGAAGTTTTCTAAATTGCAGAGGTACTTATTTGAGAAATAGAATTACAAATAAAATGTCTGCAGCGCCCCCTGCAGTGTAGGCCCCTGAAACTCAAGCTTCCTGTGCCTTCATGGCCAACCGCCTCCTCCCCACCATTCCAGTCCAACATCATCCCTCGGCCATAGGGCCTGGCCCAGCACACCTCTGCTCACACTGCCCACCAGTCAGGCCTCCCTGTCCCATCACCTGGCCAGTTCCTGGGGACTCACTTCTGATACCACCTCCACCAGGAAGCCTGCCTTGATTTGTGCCCCCCTTCAGAGTGGGTGCCTTTTGGTGTTCCCATAAATCCTCCTCACCCTGTGTCATAATTTACAATGTTCTGCCCATCTCCACCCCTTTCCCCAGTTGGTACACTCCAAAGGGTACCTACGCTGGCTGACCAGGTTTCCCCTGGTGCCTGAAACCCAGGAGGCACTCCAGGAATGTTTGTTGAATGACTGTGAATGTGAGGCAGCTGAAAGAACACAGGTTTCAATCTGTCCTAGAACCTGGGGGATGCTGGGCAGGTCACGCCACCTCTCTGGCCCTGGGATGATGGTTAAATGAGATCATAGCTGGGAGACTTCTGGACACCGGCTCTTCTTGGGCCACTACTTTGAGAGTAGGTGGTCTGGGCCCCCCAGACAGCATGCTCAGCCCTGGGAGGAGGCACACGATCTCCATCGCCACCACTGTACACAGGAGGAAACTGAGTCAGGCCTCGTCCCTGGCTGGGGCTCAGGGATGCATGCTTAGGAGGAGTGGATAATGTGCCCACCAAGCTCCCTCCAGCTCCGAGATGCTGTGGCTCTGATAAAACCTCCTGGATTGCGTCCCTTGCTGCCCTCAACCTGCAGTGACCCCCGACTCTGCCCAACATTCAGAGCCCTGTGTGATCTGGGCCACACGCCCTCCCCTTGTGCACCCCTCACCCCACTCCAGCCTCCCTGGAGCCCTCCTCCCCCAGGGGCCCTGCCAAGCCCTTGCCCCCCTCAGAGCCCCCTGCCTGCAGTGTCCCTCTCCATAGCCCCTCATCCACGATGGACTCACCTCCAAGGCTAGGCTCAGAGGCCACTCACCTGCTCGGGCTCCTGTGCAAGCACGGCCTTTGGGGTCAGAATGACCTGGGTTCAGACCCCAGCTGGGCCACGTCACAGCCCTGGGACAGGCAAGCTCATGGTGACTTCTCAGAGCCTCAGTTTCCTGCACTGAGAATGGGGTCAGTGACTCCGCCCTCAGGACAGTGTGTTGGGATTAAAGCAGGAGATGAAGGTGCCCGAAGGTCTTGGACTCAGCAGGTCACCTGGCTGGGGGAGCCCCAACACAGGACAGGCCTCAGATGGTCAGCACAGGCTCAGTGATGAGGAAGAGCAAAGTTCCAAGTCCCCCGTTCACTGCTGCACAGTCACTTGGAGCAGAGTGACCTTGAGTGCTGGGGCCACTGCTCATCTATAAAATGGGATGAAATCACTGAGTGCCCAGGGGGTTCCCTAATAACAGAAACTACCCCCAACACCAGCCCAACCCAGTGGTGGGGCCTCTACCTCCCTGGGCTCCCTTCAGCCCCTCTTACACCAGCCAGGGCTGCCACCAGGACCAGGCTGGACCTCGAGTCCTGGGGTCCTGCAGGAAGAAGGGGAACGGGGTGGTGGGGCGGTAGTGGAGGAGGGGGAAGGAGTGGCCTGACCTTCTCCTTGCCTACACCGGGTGTCCACTGCCGCCTCCAGGTCCCCCTGACCCCAGCCATCCACCAAGCTGCCTCTGCAGGTGGCATATGGGGACCAAGATCAAAGGATGGGGGTGTATATGCAGTGACTCCCGTGTCCCCAGGCCTCCACGCCCACTCGGCTCAGCGCCCGGCGGCCCCTGCCTGGTTGGGTTTGGGGGGCCCAAGGCCCTAGGGGCCGTAGGAGGCACAGAGCAGGCAGCACGGGCGGGGGACACGGGAGACCAGCCCCGCGCTGAGCCCTTGGTGCACTGCGCGCACGCGGCAAGGCGGGGCTCACGTGCACGCGCTGTCCGCGGGCCCGCGCAGGCCCCGTGTGCGTGCCTGGCCATAGACACGAGGCCCAGCCCGCCCCGCGGAGCCCACCCACGTCTGTCCGCGGGAGGGAGGCCCGTGCACGCCCCCGATCGCGCCCCCAGGGAGCTCGCGCGGCGGGGCCCGCCCCTCACACCTGCGGG